TGTGTGTGTGTGTGTGTGTGTGTGTGTGTGTGTGTGTGTGTGTGTGTGTAGGGGGGGTTACCCTTAACATTTATTGAATATTTACTGTGAGGCAGGCCCTGTGCTCAGTGGCCCCCCTGAATGAGCTTACGGAACCCTTGCAACAACCCACTGAAGATGGTATGATTATCATCCCATTTTACAAATCAGGAAATTATGGCCTAGGTTAGGGGAAATCATTAGTTTGGGGTCACAGAGGTAGCAAGTGGGGGAGCCAGGACTTGAACCTGAGTCAGTTTGATTTCAGAGCACTTACTCTTAATAATAGTGCACACAATTATTGGGCACTTGATGGGTACATATTGGGCACTCGATGATCATGATGATAATAATCACCAACAGGTATTGAATATTATTTTATGTGCCAGGCACGGTTCTAAGTACATTAAGCTCATTAACCTATTTAATCCTCACAGAGGTAAGGCCTGTTTTTATCTCCATTTTACAGATGAGGAAACCGAGATTCAGAGAGGTTCAGACACTTGCCCGAGGTCACACAGCTAGTAAGTGTCAGCTGGAATTTGAACCCAGGGACTATGGCTTTGAAATACATGACCTTAAACCCTAGTCAGCCGTGATTGTTCAAAATATTTAGTGGGTACTGGAAGGCCCAGGCTGGGCCAGGTGTCACCCCTCTGGTTGGGAGGTCATGAGAGGCCTGGGCCTCCTAGAGGAGGGTCCGAGTTGGGATCGGGACACTCAGGGGTGGGGCAGTGTGGTTTACCAGCCAGCGTGGAAAGATGGTCTGTTAACAATGAAATGCATGCCCGCTGATGATCAGTCCTGCCACTGTTCGCCCCGGGTCAGACTCCCAGCAGGACACGGTGCGTGGCCAGGCTGGTGGTCAAGCCCTGCGCCTGCGTGACCCGTCTCCTTCCCTTGCAGGTCTCACGCCCCACTCCTCCCGCCTTCGCCCTGCACCATGGCTCCCGGCCCCTTCTCCTCGGCGCTCCTCTCGCCGCCGCCTGCTGCCCTGCCCTTTCTGCTGCTGCTCTGGGCCGGGGCGTCTCGTGGTCAGCCCTGCCCCGGCCGCTGCATCTGCCAGAACGTGGCGCCCACGCTGACCATGCTGTGCGCCAAGACCGGCCTGCTCTTCGTGCCGCCGGCCATCGACCGGCGCGTGGTGGAGCTGCGGCTCACTGACAACTTCATCGCGGCCGTCCGCCGCAGAGACTTCGCCAACATGACCAGCCTGGTGCACCTCACCCTGTCCCGTAACACCATCGGCCAGGTGGCCGCCGGCGCCTTCGCCGACCTCCGCGCCCTCCGCGCCCTACACCTCGACAGCAACCGCCTGGCCGAGGTGCGTGGCGACCAGCTCCGCGGCTTGGGCAACCTCCGCCACCTGATCCTCGGCAACAACCAGATCCGCCGGGTGGAGTCCGCCGCCTTCGATGCCTTCCTGGCCACCGTGGAGGACCTGGATCTGTCCTACAACAACCTCGAGGCCCTGCCGTGGGAGGCTGTGGGCCAGATGGTGAACCTGAACACCCTCACGCTGGACCACAACCTCATCGACCACATCGCCGAAGGGACCTTCGTGCAGCTGCACAAACTGGTTCGCCTGGACATGACCTCCAACCGCCTGCACAAACTGCCCCCTGATGGGCTCTTCCTGAGGTCCCAGGGCTCGGGGCCGAAGCCGCCCACGCCGCTCACGGTCAGCTTCGGCGGCAACCCCCTGCACTGTAACTGCGAGCTGCTCTGGCTGAGGCGGCTGACGCGGGAGGACGACCTGGAGACGTGCGCCACCCCCGAGCACCTCACCGACCGCTACTTCTGGTCCATCCCCGAGGAGGAGTTCCTGTGTGAGCCCCCGCTGATCACGCGCCAGGCGGGGGGCCGGGCCCTGGTGGTGGAGGGCCAGGCGGTCAGCCTGCGGTGCCGCGCCGTGGGGGACCCCGAGCCCGTGGTGCACTGGGTGGCACCCGACGGGCGGTTGCTGGGGAACTCGAGCCGGACCCGGGTGCGGGGGGATGGGACACTGGATGTGACCATCACCACCTTACGGGACAGCGGCACCTTCACCTGCATCGCCTCCAACGCCGCCGGGGAAGCCACGGCGCCCGTGGAGGTGTGCGTGGTGCCCCTGCCTCTGATGGCGCCCCCGCCAGCCGCCCCGCCGCCTCTCACGGAGCCCGGCTCCTCTGACATCGCCACGCCCGGCCGCCCTGGTGCCAACGAATCGGCCGCTGAGCGCCGGCTCGTGGCGGCCGAGCTCACCTCGAACTCGGTGCTCATCCGCTGGCCCGCCCAGAGACCTGTGCCCGGCATCCGCATGTACCAGGTCCAGTACAACAGCTCCGCGGATGACTCCCTTGTCTACAGGTGGGTGCTGCAGTCCCAGGAACCCCGCCCCCGCCACCGACTCCGGGGGCCCTCCCCCTCATCTGCCCCACTCCCTTGGCCTTTTTGCTCAGCTGGGGTTCTCTAGATGGCCGTGCCCAATTGTCTTGGGCTCTCATTTGCCCTGTCTCCTTCTCTCTCTACTTCTATCTCTTTCTGGTTTTCCTGCAGTTAGGAAATCTTCGTTGAGATCCCATACAAGCCAGACGTGAACTGTGCCCAGCATGATCCCTGCTCTCTGGGGTTCACGGTCTACATCACTGCTGGCCAAAGGTGTCTGGTTGTGCACCTTGTCAGTTAAACATTTCAGAACATGAAATATATTCACATACTTACATATGTATAGTTACATTTACATTTACAGATTATATACCAGTGTTACTGTATCAACCCATTGGGTACATCACAGAACAGAAAAGGAAAAGTATGAGAAAAATATATAAATGATTATTTGATTGTGAAACAGATGATACCCCCTCCCATTTTATAGGCGGCTTTGTTGCGAAGCAGATGATACCCCCTCCCATTTTATAGGCACCCATAAGTTATTTCCACCATCCACTGGGTTAGATGCCCTTGCCCTGGTGTGGACAGATCTGTGCTGTGTAGACAGACATTAAAAGGTTACTTTCTCCCATAATCTCTGTTATTCTCTTGCTTTTGCCTCTGTCTGTCTGCACCCTCTCTCCCTCCCGCCCTTATTAGGCACTGAGCCCCTGCTCTGTGCTAGGCCCTGCGCTACCTCGTTCGATCTTCCCAACTCTGCCATGAAGCAGTGGTGACCCCCCCCATTTTATAGACAGGGAAGCTGACACTCAGTGGGAGGAAATCACCTGCTCAAGGTCACAGAGAAAAGTGGCAGAGCCAGGATTCCAGGCCTCACCCTTCTAACTCCTAATCTTCCCCTTCTGACATTGAACACACATTGAGCACCTACTGTTTGCCAGGCAGGGATTAGGGGAGAAGGATAATGCATTTCTGTAAACGACTCTCGGTCTCTGTGACTCTCCACCTTCTCCGTTTCTCTCTCTCATCCTTGGTCTGACCCTTGGCCACTGTGTGGTGGGGTGGGGGGGCTCCTCAGACCCTGCATGTATGTGGATGTTGGCGGCCCTCTGTCCCAGCAGGGCGACAAACCCCTGGTCTCTTCCTTTCCCCCGAAGGCCACAGTTCCAGTCCTCTGTCCCCCATTGCAGATGCCTGTGCTACGGTGCTGTAGGGGTTAACCTCCTCGCTGCTGCCACGGGCGGAGGTGACATCCAACCAGAAGCCTGCTCTGCTGCCTGCTTAGGTCTTGCAGCCAATTAGAGACACATGGGCTGAAGCTTTCTTAAGGAGCCAGCCTCTGTCCTTGAAAAGTGGGGAGCCCCTAGCAACTGGTTACTTTGGGGAAAGGAGTAGGAAGAATCCAAGCCTCTTGGGGAGGGGAGGGGAGGGGAAGAGGAAGACTTAACAGCTAAGGGGCCCGAGGTTGGATGGGGTGGGGGGGCAGTGTGTGAAATGGCAGGCAGGGGGTCAGCTGGAGATGTGGGTAGGCCTTTCTGAGGGGGTGGGGCCCTTACCTGAAATAATCTGGTTGAAGGGTGGCTCTTGGTGGTAAGGGGGCTGAGGTGGGCTTCAGGATGAAAGGTGGCCTGGTTGGAGGGAATGTGAAGTTTCTGAGAGAGAAGAGGCCTGTGGAGATGGGGGCGTGGCCTCTCTCAGGAGATGGAGCTCCTGCTGCGTGGTCCCAGGCCAATGAGGCGGCAGTCCTTGTCTCTGGTGACCCACTAAGAGTTGTGTAGGTGAGGAGGGCTTGTGAGGTTGAGTGCTGGGAATGCGAATTCCTGTGGATGTGGCAGTCCTGGCTTAGCCAACAGCACAGAAGGGATGTACCCAACCCGAAGAGGGTCAGGGCCTAGTGGGAATGGTCTTACAGATGGGGAAGGGTGCAATTGGCAGTAAAGTGTGAGCCACAGCAAGCGTTACTGGCCAACCCTGGGTGGGATGCAAGCTAATCATGATGAAATTATTCAGTGCCAGGCTTTAGGTGTGTTAACTCATTCACACGTCACACTCTCTAGGATGAAGGAGTTCTTATGGGGAAACGAGGCACAGAGAGGTTAAGAAACTTGCCTAAGGTCACAGAACTAGCAAGTGGCAGAGAGACTCAAACACAGGCTCTGAGACTTTGTCAGCGTAATCACTTCTTTACACTGTCCGTCATTGGAGGGCAGGGGCCTGTAGCAAGAAAGGGGCATGCTTGCTTGGCTACATTTTACCCAATTAGGGATGACATTTACCTGGGGGGGGGCATGATTTCATGCCCTCTGGTCGTATGGGGCAGAGCATGCACACAGAGTGATTGATTGCAGGACATGCAAAGAATGGACATGGTTCTAGGCACAGTAGGGAAACCATCCCTAGTAGGTCTTGGGAGTGTGGCTTGGAAGCCACAGGCCAATCAAAAGGGGAGTGGCCTATAGCCACAGCCCCTTAGTGGGTGGAAATATGTAGTTGAGGGGTTTGGTAATTGTCCCAGAAGATAGACACAGCTTGATGTATTTACCCAAAGGTGGGACATGCAGATGAGGGGCGTGGCCTGTATCATAGTTTCCCCAGAAAGGATGGGAATATATAGAAAAGAGGAACTAGAAGAGCATCCATTGTCCTGGTAGAAGTAATACAGGGTGTGTGAGTTGACCTCAGCGTCCACCGGTCCACGCCGCACCTGGACGGGGCCGGAGGGGGCGCGGCCGGGGAGGACGGAGACCTGGGGCTGGGCTCCGCCAGGGCCCAGTGAGTGAGGACGGACCTACAGGAAACGAAAGGTGGCCTGTTGTGTCGAGGCCCCTTCAAGGGTGGAAATATGTAGACCTTGAATGGCAGTCGTCCCAATAAAAGTGAAACACTGCCAGGAGGTGTGTTCCTTGAGGGCAGGACTTAAAAGCTATAGCACTCCTCCCTTGCAGGGGCCAGGGCATGTAGATGAGGGAACAGGAATGGCAGATATTATCTAATAGGTGACAAGACACCACAAGGAGTGGGTCTGAGGGCAGGGCATGCAGAAGAGGGGCATGGCCTGTAGCAGGGGTCCTGACAGGATGGGAATTTGTCGCTTGAATGGCTGCTCCTGTCCCATAGAGGATGAAATACCGTTAGGGACACATGGTTTAGTCCCCATTGGTCACCACGGGTGGGACACGCAAACAAAGCGATGCAGTTCATAGGGGAGCTAACCCAGCGCTGATGCCCTCCCCTCCTGCAGGATGATCCCATCCACCAGCCAGACCTTCCTGGTGAACGATCTGGCAGCAGGTCGCGCCTACGACCTGTGCGTGCTGGCTGTCTACGACGACGGGGCCACGGCACTGCCGGCCACGCGAGTGGTGGGCTGCGTGCAGTTTACCACCGCTGGGGATCCCGCGCCCTGCCGCCCACTGAGGGCCCATTTCTTGGGTGGCACCATGATCATCGCCATCGGGGGCGTCATCGTCGCTTCGGTCCTCGTTTTCATCGTTCTGCTCATGATCCGCTACAAGGTCTATGGCGACGGGGACGGTCGCCGCGTCAAGGGTACCTCCAGGTCGCCGCCGCGGGTCAGCCACGTGTGCTCGCAGACCAACGGCGCAGGCGCACCGCAGGCCCCGCCCCCGCCGGCGCAAGACCGTTACGAGGCGCTGCGCGAGGTGGCGCCCCCCGCTGCTGCAGCCGTGGCGGTGGAGGCCAAGGGCCCCGCGGCCGAGACGGCTTCCGCGGAGCCGGAGACCGTCCTTGGACGCTCCCTGGGCGGCTCGGCCACCTCGCTGTGCCTGCTGCCGTCTGAGGAAACCTCGGGGGAGGAGTCTCGGGCCGCGGCGGGCCCTCGGAGGAGCCGTTCCGGGGCCCTGGGGCCGCCAGCTTCGGCGCCTCCCACGCTAGCTCTGGTTCCTGGGGGGGCCCCGGTCCGGCCGAGGCCGCAGCAGCGCTATTCGTTCGACGGGGACTACGGGACGCTCTTCCAGAGCCACAGTTACCCGCGCCGCGCCCGGCGGACAAAGCGCCACCGGTCCACGCCGCACCTGGACGGGGCCGGAGGGGGCGCGGCCGGGGAGGACGGAGACCTGGGGCTGGGCTCCGCCAGGGCACGCCTGGCCTTTACCAGCACCGAGTGGATGCTGGAGAGTACCGTGTGAGCGGCAGGCGGGCGCCGGGACGCCTGGGTGCCGCGGACAAACGCCCAGCCGCCCGGACGCTGGGGCAGGACTCGCGGTAGTAAGCGCGGCGCCTAGTCGTCGGACTAGAGGCGGAGACTCGCCCTTGTCCTCCCCGGAGGGGGCGGGATTGCCTCGTCTGCGGCTCTTGGCCACGCCCCCGGGCCCGCGGGAGTTAGGGGGCGGGCAGCCGGGCCCCCCTCCTCCACGGACTCCTCGCCCCCCTCCTGCCCCTCCCCCCGCGCGCTCGCGGACCTCGCTGGAGCCGGTGCCTTACACAGCGAAGCGCGGGGAGGGGCAGGGCCCCCCCGACACTGCAGCACTGAGACACGAGCCCCCTCCCCCCGCCCGGGACCCGGGGCAGGGGCGAGGGGCCCATTTCTTGTATCTGGCTGGACTAGATCCTATTCTGTCCCGCGGCGGCCTCCAAAGCCCCCACCCCCACCCCATTCACCTCCCTGGTCCCGCCGGGTCTGGCTTGGGGTCCCCCTTTCTCTGTTCCCTTTGTCTCTGTCCCGCCCTCTGTCGTCTTTGTCTTAGGTGTCTGTCCTTCCCTATTTGTGTCTCCTTTCTCCGTCCGTCGTCTCTTCTCCCTCTGCCCTCCCATATCTTGTCCAGTCTTCCTGTCTCTCCCGATTACCTCTTCCCACTACACATTCTCCCGGGCAGGTCCCACTGGAAGGACCAGACTCTCCCCTACTCCTTTCTCTTTTCCCAAATAAATACCCACATGAACAAAATCCAAAACCAAATCCCCCTCCCTGCCGGAGCCGGGACCCTCCGCCGCAGCAGAATTAAACTTTTTTCTGTGTCTGAGGCCGTTCTGCTGACCTCTGTGTGTGTCTGTGTGTCTTGGGGGGTGTGTGTGTGTGACATGGATCACAGCATAAGGACTCAAGTGAGACTGAAGGAGAGATGGCTAGTTGGGACCAGGGAGGCTCGAGATAGTTTCCCGTCCCCTGAGAGACTTAGAGGTGGGGAATAATAAAAATAAAATAATACTAGCTAACAGTGAGTGCTTACTATGTGCCAAGCACTTATTTAATCCTCTAAACAACCCTAGATGTCAGTGATGTTATCCCATTTCGCAGATGAGGAAATGGAGGCTCAGGAAAGTTAAGTAACTTGCCCAAGGTCACAGAACCAGCACAGAAAACAAAATCAGGATTTAAAAAGGCAGGCAGCCTGACTTCTGAGTCTGTATTCTTAGCCACAGAATTCTGCTGAACAGCTGTTGGATGTCCATTCCACACACGGGCATTGTGCTAAGCACAACTCCTCTCTCTGAGGTTGGACAGCTGACTGAAGTAGGTATGTTTGGTCCCATTTTACAGTCAGGAATCTGAACCAGGGAGAAGTGAAAGTCACTTGCCCAAGGGCCCCAAGGGAAGAAATAGGGGAGCTGGCAGGTTGACCTCTATTCTTCACTGCTACACTGTATTGCTTCTGGTATCTGTCTAGAGGCTAGGGAACGGCCCCAAAGACCTTAGTTAGCTGAGCATGGGTATCCAAAGTCAGCCTTGGGGAGGGATTGAGGGAAAATGCTCATTGGTCACTGTCTGGAGTCTGAGAGATCCTAGGTGCAGAAGGAGCCTGCTGGGAGCACAGAGGATGGTGTGGGGGAGAGGAGTTTCTCGGGTGAGGCTGAGGGCTGTGGCTGGGGAAGCAAAGTTGGTCAGGTGGGATGCTCCAGCCCTTGGGGAGGGGGAGGCCTGCAGTGAAAACTGCTTCCTGATCCTGGAGAAGGAGGAGGAAGGCTTCTTGCCAGCCAGGGGCCCCCTGAGGCCTGGGGAGGAGGAGAGAAAGACAGAAATAGAAACAGAGCAGGAGGGAGGGGGATGGATCTGGGCAGACAGGGTGGGAGGCAGCAAGGACAGAAGCACCAGAGATTCACAGGCCATGAGGCTCCCTCACCCAGTGGCTCAGCCACACATCCATCTCCATCATCACGACTCCTGGATACTGAGGGCTTCCCACATGCCAGGCACTGTGCTCACGAACCCTCCCTGATGCAAGGAGAGAGTATGCAACCCGGAGCCCAGCAAAATGGTTACTCAGTAAGCGTGATTGCATTTATCCTCTGCAACAGATCTGTGTAGTGTATGCAGCCACTTTTCTAGAGGAAGAATCTGAAGTTTAGGGAGGTTAAGGAGTTTGCCCAAGGTCACGCAGCCAGGAAATGGCAGAGCCACGATTGGAAAGTTTACTGCCTCCGAATCCCGCACACCCAACCGTCTGACTATATTGTCTCTGATTCACCCAATAGAGCTTTATTGAGGTTGTACTGTGTACCTGGCCCTGTTCAGAGGATACGACAGTGAACAAAATAGTTTAACTAAAACAAAACAAGAAACCCTTGCCCCATGGAGCTCATATTCTAGACGGGGGAGGGGGGGGTGAGAGTAAACAAGCATGTAAATAATGTATCTGGGAGTAAATAAGTGCCATGGAAAGAATGAGAAGGGGATGGAATAGGGACTGACTGGGAGGCCTACTTTAGGTTGGGGGCTCAAGGAGTGTGATACTAGAGCTGAAGAAATCCCTTGTAGGAAGAGCCAGGGAAAAGCATTCCAGGCAAAGTGAATAGCACATGCAAAGGCCCTGAGGAAAGCGTGTGCTTGGTGTTTTGGAGGTAGTATGTCTGGACCGGAGCAAGTGGGAGAGTGGGAGGGGAGGGGGTGGGAGAGGCAAGCAGGGAATAGATTCTGCAGAGCCTTGTGGGCTGGGGTCAAGGATCAAGGTTGTATTCTCTGAGCTATGAGAAGCCAGTGGAGGATTGTCTGTAGAGGTGGTATACAGTCTGATTTCCAAGGAAGACCCCAGCTTTGGGTTGGTGTGTTTGTGCCTTCAAAACAGAATCAGGAACTGCCATCTCAGAATTTGGCATCCACCCATTGACATGTTTGGGGCCAACATGGTCCCCAGTTCAGCACTTTGGATAACACTCCACCCGCCTTCCTTCACTTGTAACCCCTTCATTTGGTAGAGAAGTATTTATCAATGCCAATGCTATGCTTGCTTTACAAAATTGAGAGCTCTAAACCCAAGGAACAGGTACACTAGGTGAGAGAGGGCCTAGGATCATCTAAGTGGAATGTTTGAGTATCTCTTCTGTGCCTGGCCTGTGCTGGACACTGAAGACCCAGTCTCGGACTCAGTTTCTGCCCTCCTGGAGGCTGAGGGCAATCGCAGCCCTGTTGCTGTAAGTTCAGGAGACTGGGAGCCCAGCAGAGCTGCCTGCCCCTGCCCCAAGGTTCCCTCTGAACTAATAAGGGACACTTATTAGTTTAGAGTCTTTAGGTAGCAAGTGACAGGAACTCAGCTTCCCTGGATTAAGCATCAAAAGTGGGCACTGTTGGCTCATATATCTGGGATGCAGACAATTAAGGGTAAAGCTACAAGGAATTTGGCCTTCGAGACCGGAACCCAGACTCAATGCCACCCAGACACTTTAGTCACTCATTTCTCTGTTTCTCCCAGCTCAGATTCATCCTCTTCAACAACATGTGGTGGGGAAAATGGCCATTTATTTACAGACACATATTTGATGCTTCTAGCACCATAACCCCAAAGGTAAAATGGCAAAATCTCCTCCAGTCCTCAATGAGAAAAAAATCAGGGAAGGGCTCTGATTGGCCTGACTGGAGTCACATGACATTCCTGCTCTGACTGTAGGAGCCAAGGCAATGTAATGCTTTGATTGGCCAGGTGGGGGTGTGGGTTGTGTGGTCTGGGGGAGGGGAGGTTACTAAAATAATATTCGGTTGAACCATATGAAATCGCCAGTTTTGTAGGTTAGAAATGGCAGAACATGGGCAATTTCATATGATTGACCCTAAACAGTCACCAGAAAAGTAGGATGGGAAAACTTTTAGGCATATAAAAGCAATAGGAACCCCAGGGCACCCATGCAGAAGGATTTTTGAAGGAGAAGGTGGTATTAGCCGAGATATAAGGGATGAATGGGAAATGGCCAGGTGAAGACTTCACGGTGGCAGGAGAGTAGTAGGACATGTCCCAAGCACAGGGAACAGCGGATGCAGAGGCTGTCATGAGTGGGGACAAGGGAGGGCTTGCTTCTGTGCTCTGGAGATGGAGTGATCTGACTGAGCCAACCTGAGTCATACGTTCACCAAATGAAGAAGTAGGAAAACAGAGTTATTCCCCAAAGGAAAATTGAGGAGCTTTACCAGGAGAAATGGATGCTGAACAGGCCAAACCAAAATGTATCCAGTTCAAGAATTTTTGTTAGGCCTTGGCATCTCCAAGAAGGGATTTGAAACTCTAATTCCAGCACGCCTATTGAAGAGGGTCATATGCCAGAATTCACATATCTCCTATATGATTCAAATGTTTACTAGCAAATATATGTTTGATAATGTAAGCTCTACGTCCAACATGGGGCTTGAACTCACGACCCTGAGATCAAGAGTTGCATGCATGCTCTACCAACTGAACCAGCCAGGCACCCCATATTATCAAATATTAATTGACTACCTTCTCTAGGTTCTATGCTGGGTGTACAGAGATGGATTTGTGAGGCTATATCTGGCTGCAAAAGACAGAAAACCCAATTAACATGACTTAAGACATTTGGTTATCTCATTTAATAAGAAGTCTGGAGTTAGGAGGTTTGGGGGTTTGGTGCAACGGCTCATTGATATCACCAAGGACGCAATTTCTTACTCTTTAGTTCTACCTTCCTTAGAAGAATAGCTTCATACTCTAGGTTCATTGCCTCTTGGTCACAAAATGACCACCACAGCTCCAGAGCTCACATCCTCATACTAGTGAACTAAGCAGGAAGGAAGGGAACACATGCAAGAGTTTTCTTTGCATCAGGGAAGAAAAAAAAACCTCTAAACTAATAAGAGTAACAGCAACAAACACATATGTGGGGCTTAACCTGTGCCAAAAACTGTTTTAAATTCCTTACATAAGTTAATTAATTTAAGAAGCCCTTCATTTAGATGGCTATCAAACTGCAAGGGAATCCCAAGAAGCAAGTGTCAGGCAAAAGGGAAAGAAGTTCATGCCATGGGCTTGGCAACTTATATCTTCCTTGCCACTGATTGCTTTAGGCTTAGGCAGGTGACTAAATTCTAGCCAATGAGACAAGCATGCACATCCAATAGGGAGTTTTTCTGGAAGGTTTTCTTTGCTTTTATTTTATTTATTTTTAAAAAATATTTTATTTATTGGGGCGCCTGGGTGGCTCGGTCGGTTAAACGTCTGCCTCCTGCTCAGGTCATGATCTCAAGGTCCTGGGATCGAGCCTCACGTTGGACTCTCTGCTCAGCAGGGAGTCTGCTTCTCCTTCTCCTTCTGCTCCTACCCCCCACCTGTGATTTCTCTTTCTTTCTCTCTCAATCAAGTGCAGGCAAGCAGGGGGAGGGGCAGAGGGAAAGGGAGAGAGAAAATCCCAAGCAGACTCCGAAGGGAGTAAGGAGCCTGAAGCAGGGCTGGATCCCACGACCCAGAGACTGCAACCTGAGCCAAAGTCAAGAGTCAGTGGCTTAACTGACTGCACCACCCAGGCACCCCAGTTTTCCTTGCTTTTAAAAACTGTGGAAGATAAATGGATTTTTAGAGCAGGGAGATGGAATAGGAGCTTGCTCCATCCACTCCAGGCATCGACCTGGTATTGTAGTACTTCCAGGAACGGTGCACCCCCTCGGGGGTAATACTAATGGTGCAAAAGGAAAAAAGAAAAAAAAAACAAATAAAAACTGTGGAAGAAGGGGTGCTTGGGTGGTTCAGTCTGACTCCTGAATTCAGCTCGGGTTCTGATATTGGGGGTCATGGGAGCGAGCCCCAAGTTGGGCTCCCCACTCAGCAGGGAGTGTTTCTCCCCTCCCTCTGCCCCTCCCCCCCATTCATGCCCTCTCTCTCTCAAAATAAATAAATAAATCTAAAAAAACAAAACAAAACCAAACCTATATAGAAGGAGAGTTAGGGCCCAGACACTGTGGAGCAGAGGCAAGCTATCCACATTGAGCCTTGTCCAAAGTCATGACCCACAGAATCTGTGAGCAGGATAAAATTGTTGTCATTTTACTCCATTAAGTTTGAGGTGGTTGGTTGTGACAGCTGGAGCTGTGGCTGCGATCTTGAGGCCATGAGGTAGCCAGAGTAAGACTCAGCCAACAGAGATGGACAGAATTTGGTTCCCAAAGACATTACCGAATAATGAATTAACCAGTCCTAAAACAGCCCTGCCAGCTGACTTTTTGTTATGTGTGATAATAAACTCATTTTTATTTTCCCCATTTGTGTTGGGTTTCTGATACTCATTACAGGATAAAGCATCTTGATTAGACCTCTATCTGTCCTAGGTACCCATGGAACAGAGAGATATCCAGTTCACAAGGACAGGGATAGACAGAGAGACATATAAACATGTGTGTACATGCACACAGAACGGCCCACACATGGGCATGAACTTGCCGTTATGCATCCTCGGTCAGACCCAGGCTCAGGCAGATGCTCGCTTAAATCCATACATGCACACAGTCGCAGAAATCAGGGGCACACAACTATACACAACCAATTACACATTTTACCTACACCTTTAGACATCCACCCTCAGTCACAGACTCACAATCATACACGTACCCAAGGATTCACTTATCACAGAAGGTTCCAATTCCTTCCTGTTTATTTGTGCATATTGTATAAAAGTAGAAAAACAAGCATTGCTTTTGGGTCTAGGTCAGCGCTAAAGCTTCATAAATAAGGGGCGAGAGGAAATAACTTAAGGCAGGGCTGGGGCTTCGTGCATAAATAAGGTCTGGGGTCCCAGATGGGCTGGGGGTGGGTCCAGGTCCTCAGACACACAGGTCTCCACTGGCGACACATTCCAGGTCCTTTTTGAGGAGGCGGAAGAGGTTGAACAGGACAGAGGCCTCGAGGCAGCCTTGAGACTCCTATGAAAGGGACACATGCTTGCCATTGCCCAGGCATCCGCCTCCTCCCTTACCCAGGGCCCGGGCATCCATTCCCGTCTCAAGTCACTCACCTTCTTTGAGGCCTCGTGGAGCCGGTGCAGCCAGTGGTGGAGTCGGCCTCGGGGCTGGGGGCCTGCTGTGGGCTGAGCCTTGACCTGTGGGCAGAGGAGGGTGGTGTGTGAGGCAGGGCCTGGGACGGAGGGGTGAGGTCCCCTAAGCCCAGAACCCACAGACGGGGCCCGGGTGCCCCGAGCACTCACACAGGCCTGGAGCTCGGAGCGGATGTGGCGCAGCATGTGAAGGGGCTGGTCCAGGATGCCCCCCTGGGACCTGTCAGCCATGGTCTCCAGGACCTTCAGGGTCAAGGCCAGCTCAGCCTCCAAGGCTACAGGGCGCTCCCACACCTGAGGAGAGGTGAGAAAGAACAGGCGACGTGGAAAGGTAAGGAAGCATAGGCAAGCAGGCCCAGTTAAGTGGGGACAGGTCGGGAGCGCAGTTCCCTCCCTCCCTGGAAGGCAGGTGATAGGCGACACAGGATGGGGACAGGTGATGGGTCAGGTGGGAGGGAGGCAGGAGAAGGGAACGCGTGAGGAAGGATGCAGATGAAGGATACAGGTGAGGTGGAAACCTAAGGGAAGATACAGGTGAAAGAGTGAAGTGGGACAAGTGAAATGTGGCTCGTGGGTCACAGAAGTGTGGAGAGATGAGAAGGGGATGGGCGAACAGAGACAGGTTAGGGAAGCAGGTGGAGGGGGGCAGTTGGATGCACAGGTGATCAGGGTGAAGGAAGGAGGCACGGACTCTGGGAAAGAGCAGTGGAAGAAAGGTGATGGGGGACACAAGGGAGGCTCAGTGTGAGGAGGACAGATGATGGGGGAGGAAGGAATCAGCCTTGAGAGTAGACGGTGACAAACTGGCCAGGGCAAGGGGCTTGGGTGGGAGACAGACCCGGGAGAGAGAAAAAGGGAGAAATGAGAAGGAATTAGGTAAGAGTGACAGGGACAGGTGAAAGAGATAGGGACGTGGGGACAGGCAGAGAGGTGATCGAAAGGGACCTAAGGGAGGGATGGGGTCAGGGGAGCAGTTGAGGAAGGACAGGGGCCCAGGACAGGTGAGGAGAGACCAGACAGAGGGGAGGACAGGTGAGACCAAGGAGGTGGGGGCCACTTCGGGAGTGAGGGAGAGGGGCCAGGTGAGGGTAAGGGTGGCCTCACTTCCCACTCACCTGCAGCTGGCTCAGGTCCCTGTTTCTAGGGAAGAGGCGGGAGCCGCAACTCCAGTTTTTTAGTGAATTTTCCTAGAGAGTAAGAGCAGAGATTAGCCTACAGTAGGAGGGCCGGAGGCTAGCCCTTAGCTGCAAGGCTGACCTCGCAGGAGGGCTTGAGTTTAATCCATAGCAGAAAGGACAGAGGTTAGCCATAGCTGAAAAGCTAGAGGCTAGCCCATCGCAGGAGGATGGGAGGTTAGCCCGCTATAGCCAGGCAGCAGCTGGGCCAAAGCAAGAGTAGAGGTTAATCCACAACAATGGGGACTTACCAAGGCATCCTTGGCTTTCTTGAAGGCCTCCAGCTCCCTTGGTGACAGAGATTTGAACCTGCCAATGTCACAGCCCTTCCAGGTTGTGGTGGGCTCGAACGTGGGGACAGGGCCAGCTCTGGCCAAGCACAGCTCTGCAGTCACCAGCACCAGGACCCATACTGTGGCCATGATCAAATCGCAACTGCTTTCCTGGCTGCATGGCTCCGCTTTTTAGCCAGGCTAAATGAGCAATCCTGGCTGATGTGTGTAAAGTGAAAAGGCAAATGGAAAGTGTGATTTTCACGATGACTTGAAAGGCGTGAGTGGGTGGGGCCAGGTGCCGAGTCAGGTGAGCTCACAGGTGTGGGTGGAGCCAGATGAGCCAGAGCTCTGCCAAGAAGGAAAGAAACTGAAATTCGATCCCAGGACAAAGCCTAAGGCGTCCCTGACCTAGTTCAGGAGTTCCTGGAATTTTGGGAATCCACTGATTGAGGCCAAGGCAGGTAGAGGGATAGGAAGCGGTTGCAGCAGGGCAGGGACTAGGGCAGAGTGTGTGCAGTGAGGCTTCTTGGATGCGAGAGAGGGAGCTTCCCCTATCGGTTTAAGCTTGTTCTGGGAACTCATTTTATGCTCTGAACATTCCTGTGAGTTGTTACTTTTATGCTTGTCCCCATTTTACCGGCGAGAAAACTGAGGCGCAGGAAGGAAAAATGACTTGCCGAAGGTCCCACGGCTGGTTAATGGCAGAGCTGGGGTTTGAATGGAGTCTCATGCGCTTACCCCCTATTCTGTATATACAGCCAGAGAAGATGAGAACCTTTGGGAGTCACAGTCAGCCAGTTCTGTCTCTCCCTCTAGGTAGCATGAAAGGGTAGGGACCTCCTCATTCGCTGGGGGCAAGAGAACTTACTGGGGACTGGAGGGGCTGCCTGGGGAGAAGGCAGTGAGGAGGGCTTCCAGAAGGCAGACGGAGTCTGGTTGCTTTGTTATCATCACCCCTCAAGGTAATAATAATTGTGTAGCATGTAGGAATTGATGTACAGGCACTTTATATTTTTCATTCCTTTATTTTTTTTCTTGGCCCTTAGGTGCAGAGAGTTATTAATCATACTCTTCAGATCATAACATAGAATGACAATTGGCCCATGAAAGACTCTCTAAGGTCGCCGCCATACCCAATCCCCACTCCCACCCCACCCACCTGCAGATATACCCCCGTTAATGCACTTGATATATAGCTGCAAAGATGTATCTTTATCATTTGTGATTTTGTGTGTATATGTATTTCCAATCTGCATAAATGGGACTGTGCTATAAATTTTGTTCTATCTCTTCCTTTTTTTTTTTTAAAATGTATATTATGGAGATCTCTCCATATAGTGGAGAACACCTAGTTTTCTGTAACTGCTGCATTGTATTCCATGCAGCACTTTTACTTATCTACTCCCCCAGTGATGGACACTTAGGTTGTCTTTAGCTCCCCATCACCATAAGGCTCATACATATCCCCTCTGTGGGAAGTTTTCTAGGATACACCATAGCACCCCAGCTGGTGCCCCGCCACCATATCCCCTCAGCTCATTTTTTCACTCACTTGTAGATCTGGTGGGCAATTCGTGAACACCCTGACAGCCTCCCATCTCATATGCCTGTTTCTTTCGTCTCCATCTGAGGTCTTTCTCCCGTCTGCCTGCAGAACACACTGGAAGTGTCAGGATTAATCCCCCAGGGGCAATCTTCCCCCAGAGAGGGTTGGGAACCAGTGAATAAATACTTTTGCTTCTCTTTTCCTCTGTGGGTTGATTCTAAGGTGTGTTCTGCATGACTCCTCAAGTCCTTAGAGGGTCCCCGCCTTGTAGGCATGAGCCCTAGTTAGTTGCTCACAGCAGTTGCCCTTTCAGAGCTGGGACTAGGGTGGGGAAGCAAGGTGACTGGGGGGTAAATTTTAAGGAAGGCGCTCACACTCAGGTTCAGGCAAATGCCCTGGTGCCTCGCTTGCCTCCCTGTAGTCTGGACTCTGCACCATTTTTACTTCTTTTCTCCTCCGGTCCCAATTTCCCTGCTCACCTGTGTTTCCTGGGGATACCTCCCAAATAAACCACCTGTCCCCTTGGCTCAGGTCATGCTTTTGGGAGGCTCCAGATTAAGACATATATTCAGAGTAGGATTTCTGGGGCACAGAGTATACCTGAACTTGTATTGTCTAGTTAGCACT